AGCTCTCGACTCTTTCAACTGCTCCTTCGTGAACAGCGGTGCCATTTGCTGCTGCAAAGGAACCAGGGGTGCCAAAGTCACCGGCCGACCTTTTGGATGCTCAGTCGAACCTTTTGCACTGGGCTTGGAACCACCACTACGAAACACTTCCATCTCCGTAGTAGGCCCAGTTGCGGAACCCGGTGGTCCTGTTGTAGACCTTGTGGGTGTCATCAAACCCTTTTCTTCTTTTTCATCTTTTTCCACCCCTTCTCTTTCCTTCACCTTTCCAGCCTCCTCTGCAGAGGCTCTTGCAGCATCCTCTTCTGGCGGAGGAAGAGCCAGCGAAGGGCCATGCTCCATCGATCGGCGGCGGCGAAGCATGCACGAGCTCGAGGGTGGTGCAGAAGTAGCTTGTTTTGGGCTCATAACCTGTTGATACCCTTCTGCGGACATGACCGAAAACACACGTTCCCAAACCAAATGCACAAAACAGATCCGCTGTTCTTTTTCAACGCTTCTTTGGTTGGGTTTCCTCCTTCGTGGGAGGCTTTCAAGGCCATCAGGCCCTCACAACAAAAAGGGCTGCGAGATGCAGTCAACCTTCAAGGAAGTGCATGAACAATAATAACCCTGTTCCTCACACATATTATCCTGTAGCCCTCATTATATAATCCAAAAAACAGGTCGTGCCGCCCGCACGACCTGCACACGTGAACAGTGAAATTCGAGCGCTGGATGTTGGAAACACAGTCTTGCCAGGCGGGGGTGGCTGCTTCTTGGGGATTTCTTTGATAATTTCGGCAGCCCTGCAGGCTAGCCTGGCATGAAGAGTGAGCTACACGAGTCTCAGGAGCTATGCTGCCGCCATACTCTTGAGCTGAGGATAAGGCAGCCCCGTTGGTCCCAGAAAGGAGATGGGAACAGCTGTGGTGCCTCAGGCTGTCTCAGGCTGCTTAGTTTCTGGCCCAATTCAGCTGCAGCTGATTGCGTTTTTTTTCCGAATTCATCGCCTTACGATTTTGGCGCTGCTACAAACACAGTAGCGCAAAGCATGGGAAGCTGTACAAGATGCTTCCCTGACATCTATTTCGCCTGGGAGGTATGATGAGCTCATACCCCCACGTGGAATATCACGGAATCTATTGCATGTCTCCAACTTGGGCGGGTAGGTTCTGAACAGAGCTGTAAAACCGCGAGTGTTCTGGTGCCGCTTTGACTTTCCAAATGATGAGATCATTGCAGGGGCCTTTGTAAGCAGGTTTCTGGAGAGATCCTAACCCATCATTTCTGACCATATATAATTACACATTCCCCTTCGGACTGCTCAGGCGATGCCGGTTCAGCAGTATACTGTGGCCACTTTGATGTTTGGTGCTCAGGGGGCTCAGTGTCACCTGTTTTTCGGCCGAAAGCACCAACCGGAGAAGCCCTAAGGGCTATGGCTAGGGTCCAGCGTCTGACAGAGTTGACTGTGATGTTTTCCAAAGATTGGCCACTGAAACATGGTGTGTTTCTTCCAGCACCTTCCTTACGGGGTCTCTGGGTCTCCAATGAAATGCCGAATGCCCTACTACAGGTACTTGTGGATTTCCAGACGGGACACCCCTTTGAAGGTCCAGGTTGCTTTCGTTATGCTGGTGTTGCAAGGCACACGCCCTGCTTTGCATGGATATTGGCGAAGCTGACTTCCACGGAATTCCTGCAAGTATTTGATGATACAAATGTACGAGCATTAAATTAAACTTAATTAAACTTAATTAAGGCATATTAAGGCCCAAACAAGACAAGTCAAGTCTGTGATTCCGGAGGTCTTTTTCCGAAACACATGACAAAACAGATCAGAACAACTCGAACCGAACCTCATTTGCCTCAGTCTTAGGCCTGGCTTGGGTGGTCAGTATGCAGCAGCCTTGGAAGTCGGACGAAAGAAACACGGGAAATGATGCACAAACAGCACGTCAGTCAGCGATCCTGGATGATGGGAGATCGCTGTTTGTTCCGACAATAGTGACGATGTTCAGCACTTTTTCTTTTCAGATCATCATGATCGGGTACGTGCTCCTCCAATAAAGGTGGCTTAACATCTTCGACAGACAGCCATTTTCAAGTACACTATACCTTAAATGACCTTGAATGTCAGCCAAGGAATATGACAATCGCCATGCATTTGGCATTTAAACATGTTTTCGTGAGTTCTTTGGCTTTTTGGTGGCACACACACACCCAAGCCACGCCCGAACGCCATGTCCGTCATGTCCCTTCGCCCAGGTACTTGCCCCGGCACTTTCCCCTTTCTACCCAAGCGCGACGACGGCAGGGAACACTGCGGCCACTGCAGCTCCATGGCGAGCAGTTGATGCCGATGCACGGAGCCACTTCCGGTTTGAGTTGGGAAAGCGGGCGTTTCTTCGAGAAAGGGCAACGCGTTTCGTGTGATGGTTGTAGCGGCAAATTCTTCAGGACCCTGAATCTTCTCAACTTTTGATCATCCAGTCAGAGGTTGTCATTCAAGTGGATCAGTGGATTCTACCGTAGGCATAGGTATCAAAAAAAGTAAAAAGAGCATCAAACAAATAATAATAACAGTATCAAAAAAAAAGCGAATCAAAAAAAATATTCCTTGATAGGCCTCTTCTGCTGCTCTCCTGGCCTTGTGGTCTGCGGGTCCTCTGGTAATGTGGTCCCTTGGTCCTTTGGTCCCTGGTCCACTGGTCCTTTGGTCCCCTGGTCCCTTGGTCCTTTAGTCCACTGGTCCCCTAGTCCTCCGGTCTCCTGGTCCTCTGGTCCTGTGGTCCGCTGGTCCCCTGGTATCCTAGTCCTTCTGTCTCCTGGTCCGCTGGTCTTTTGCTCTCCTACGGCGCTCGTCTGTCGATCTCCTGGTCCCCTGCTTGCGCAAATAGAGGCTTGATTGCTTTCTACTAGAGGCAGCTCCCTGGGAAGAAAGTAGGTACCCAACGATAAGGTTGCCGTCCAGTCATTGAGTAGCCCTACTCGAAAAATGGTTCACCAGTGGAAATAGCTCCCTACTAGGAGGGAGCTCCTGGGGAGGTACACTCTCCTCTACTACCCCAACCATCCTCAGTGGGCTAGAATATTTTTTTGATCACCTTTTTATTTTTTTATTGATCCCCGTTGAATATATTTTTTGATTCTATTTTTAATTTTATTTTGATCCCTTACCCTCTACCGTACCTCATTTTGCACAGACTTTGTCGAAAGCATACTGGAAAGGATATGTCACATCACCTATATATATATATATAATCTGAAAAAAGTAGCACTGTAGCGATTATGTGCACGTGCCTTGCAGTTTGCATGCGTGTCTCATCGTGTAACCATATCATATCATGTTTAATACGTCGACTTATCAATCGCCCTCTCATCTTCCGCAGCCGTCTCAAGCCATTGTCTTCCAGTGCCAAAATAGCAGATATAGGACCAGATGAGAACTCCGGCATGTTCCAGTGCAGCATATGAGCGGAGAAGTGCAATCATTGAAGCTCTTCCTGAAATGTCCTGACGATTCCTGACTCTGGGATGGAGATGGGCGACAGGGCATTTGCAGGCTGCAGCTCACTGACGAGTTTGGCAATTCTGGACTCTGTGGTCTGCTGTTATTGGATGGAGGGCCTTCAATGGCTGCAATTCATTGACAAGCCTGACAATTTCTGACTGTGTGAAATTAGGGACACTGCATTTGCAGGCTACAGCTTGCTGACCGGCCAGAATTCTGGAATCTATGGCAATTATTTAGATACGCGGCATTTGCCAGCTGCAGCTCACTGACGAGCCTGACAATTCCCGACTCTGTGACTGAAATTGAAGACTGTACATTTATTGGCTGCAGTTGACAATTCCCGACTCTGTGAATGCAATTGGACACAAGGCTTTCATTGGCTGCAGATCACTAGCTCGCTCACAAGCCTGACAATTCCGAACTCTGTGACTGTTATTGGGCACAGGACGTTTGCGTACTGTAGCTTACTGACCAGCCTCACAATTCCTGACTCTTTGAATCACGGAGTCTGACATGGTGAGGCTTTTTTGTGATTTAGAACAGGGCGCTTGCTGGCTGCCGCTCATTAAGATGGCTGACGATTCCACACTCCGTGGCTCGTATTTGAACCAATGCATTTTATCGCTGCAGCTCACTGATAGTTAGTAAAATAACAACACATGGCTGATTGAGCAACCCAAAGCGTGCTCAGCGCTACTTGCATGGATGCTATCGTCAAGCAATTCTTTGACAGGAAGCGGGGGAGTTTTTAAATGGTGGATGAAGGATGATGAAGGTAATCTGAGAGTGGATGCAGCAACACGTCAGTTTCTCCTGAAGAACCCTTCCATTGTTGGTTCATGTGCATTTAGATGTTTTTAATCCTGGTGCGAATGCCTCGCCTCAAATCCTCATCAATAATGTCTTTGTGGTGTTTGGTGCCCACACCACGGACTGGTCCCATGGGCAAATAGAAGCTCGTGGACCTCGTCATGATGATCTTAGACTTCAACCACGCAGAAGGCCAAAGCTGCTGAGGAGTCAGCCACTGGATGGTTGAGCTTTCTGTGCGGCGATCGGCTGGCTGAAGCAAGACCTGATCGGCTGAAGGTCGCTGAGATGATCGAGGTGAACATCACCAACGAACAGCTGTGCGGTTCGAAGCCTCCAAGGCACAGCTGGTTCCATATGCGGTTATTTGACAAAGCTACCAGACTCCGTGATCTCTAGTTGGATTGCAGGCTTTCGGTGGCTGCATTTCAATAAAGCTCAGAATTCCTGTACCGAGATTGGATGCAATCCTACGACGATTTTGCTCGGTCGAACATGTCCATTGATGTTTAGCGTAGTCGAGGTCGAGGACCTTCGCCGTCGCTATGATAGTCGCCATGCTCGAAAATATCCGCCGGCCGCCACACTCCTTTTCGTGCCTTCCGGGCCTCCTGGTGGATGGTGGTGGGGGGAATCAAGGCCTTGCAATCACTCATTTCTTGTTGATCGTACACCAGATCAGTGCTGACCACCTCAGCATGTCCATGTCAAACTTTCAATAAACTCCAATAAACTCCACGGCGATTCCCAAGCCGCCTTAAGGGTGTTCCAATGTATTCAACAGTGTATTCAACCTATTGTTGGTCTTTCTAGACTCTAAACTCCCAGGTTCTTGCATGTCGCGCACCTAGGCTTTGCAGCAGTACATCGCTGCTGCATATCCCACCTTGGATGCCACTCAGCAGGCGGACAGACGACCAGAGAGACCGCTGTGTTTGACTTCGAGGTCACCCGCAGAAAAGATGGCAAGATCATGCAAGATCTGCCAGAAGCAGAAGATGTTTGAATATGAAACTGTTGGAAGATGCTGATGAAGTTCCAGATGCTCATGTTTTCTGAATGAGTTTTGGCATGTCATACCAGTCTTACATATCATGCCGGGTGGACAGTGGACAAGGATGAGGTGGAGAGACATGATGTGTTCCAATGTGTTGTTCTTTTGTTTTCCCACGTCTTTTGCATGTTGTTCCCCGGTGTATGGAGCACTTACATTTTAAACCGTTTGACCGGTTCCCTTTCCATCCTGTTTTTGGTCGCACAAAAAAGGGGTCGATTCTACAGACTCGAGTACATCGTGTGATGTTCGGCAGATCGAGCAGGGTCAGAGAATCAGACGTTTTGCAGTCATGTTGTGACAGAAAAGAACCACAACAAAACGCAGACTCTACTGTACATAGGCCCTTCCTCATTGACGAATTCCTGCAGATGTTGTTTTGGTGCTTTTCAATGCGTTTCACTGGTCATTGCTATACGTTTTGCCTCTTTGCCTTCTCAGGCTGCGCTGGTGCAGTACTACTCACAGGTGTCACAGGTGCAAACTGCCCAGGCGGACTCGCGAGTCCATACGAGTCCCGCCGGACGGTTGGATCCGCCGTGTGAGCCAAGGGACACAAACGACGTCCACTCCTAATAACCTAGACCATCCGTGTATGGCATCCATATATACAATATATTGATTTATATGTCTTAGATATGTATATATATATATAATATATATATATACATATACACAATACACACTATACACCCTTACATGAACCCCTGAAACCACTCCAATGTAGCTAAATATGCCACGCTGCCACAGTGTCTGGGCAAGAGAGCATTTTCAAAAATCGAATCGCCTTGAGGCTTTCCAAGTTTTAACATGCGAACGTTGATTGGGATCACCGAGCATTTGGCTGAGCTGCTACCTGCGTCCTAGATCCTTTGGGTTTGGACCAAGGCCCTTTCAAGTTCCTCAGCAGAGTTGAACGTGCCCCTCACCATGTGGTAGAAAGCATATCTATTTGGGCAACTAGTGCGGTGCTTGGAAGTTTTACTGGAGGCCATTGACCTCCACTCAAGAACATCGCAGCGTGGAATGGCAGAGATTGCAGCATCCATGCCACGCAGATCTTAAGAACATGCAGCAGCAAAGGCCAACAAATCTTATATATATATATATAGAGAAAGTAATCAATTGGTCCACCATTTCTGATACGAAAGGTGACATTGCCAAAAACAAGCGACACATATAGTCTTTTGGAAGGACGTCTTTTGGAAGGACTACTGGGACTACTGTCCTCTGCAAACCTCTGCACCATCTTCCAAGTTTGAGGGGCCGAACTGTCAACTCCCAGTAGACTCTCAACGTCTCCCATCGTGGACGCCATGGCGGCCATGGTGAACTCCAAGTGGACGCTGGCGAGGCGCCCGGAGGGCGTCTATGACCCTGCGCTGGATACGACCCTCGTGACTGAGCAGGTGAGCTTAGAGGAGATGAAGAGCTTGGTCGACCCGAATTGCACTCGACCCGGGGGCCGGGGAACCGCCCCGATGTAGCGCGAGTTTCAGGGCAGGTTTTCCACTGTGGTAGCTGGCTCCAAGGAAGGGTTTGGGAACACCTAGCTAATCAGACATGGCCACCCAGCTCATGCTGCTTCGACCAAGCGCTGTTCATTGTTTCGACCTTGGGAGGACTGTCCGGAAGACAAGGTCATCGTGAAGGTCGAGATGCTGTCCGTGGATGCCTTCATTCGGACGATGATGGATGAAGAAGCCTACCATGGGGTAGATGGGCTGCTCACTTGGTCATTGGAGACGTGGGAACCAACTTATTGCAAACTCAGAAGCTTTAGAGGAGAAAGTGTAATGATGTGACTATAGCCGCTACTATAGGAAACATGTTTGAAGATTCACTGATTCATCAATTGAGGATGGGAATCCCAGTCACTTGGCTGCAGTTGAACATGCTCTCCCGATCAGGTGAGCACATAAAGTTTGAGCCACATCGATTCCGCATCCATGTTGCCCATTCACATGGGGGAGGTTGGCCCCACTGAATGGGACCATGCCCTATGCCCTAATGTTCCTTTGGTTAAACTGGTTATATCCTAGCAGGACTCGAGTGCAGGACGTAGCGAACCATGTTCAATCACGCATAATCAGAGATTCCTGTGTGTGTTTTTGATTGTTATTTAACAAATCAAAGAAGGGAATCACATGTAACCACAAAAGATGCCGAATCAAATTCAGCATCCCCAGCAGTTGAAGGATGCCAATTGACTGCGGAGCTCCCGATCTCTCCCCCCCCTTCTTTCCTTCACCAATCAGCAACACACAACGTGGACAACAATCATTCACGCTGCTTTCAAGTCCTTTTGGGGGGGGAGTTCGATCAAAGGCCTTCGTCAGCCTTCTGTTGTCCCCCACCCATGGTGCCTCCCAACCCCTGTGGTGAGGTGGGCGCCGTGGTGCCGGCCATTGGCTATGGCACCATCGTGGCCGCCGGCAGCCAGTCCGGCAAGTCGGTGGGGCAGAAGGCGGGGCAGGTCGGGTGGCGAAGTCAGGCAGAAGGTAAAGTCAGGGCACCCTGTGCCAACTAGGGGCATCATATGGATTTTTGTATAATTTGGTTGTGCTGGTGTGGGGATTTGATGATCCCAATCCAAATACAGCGCACACATCACTCTCATCCTGACCGATTTTGCCCGCCCACTAGGTCCTTGGAAGCGTGGGTGCGCAGACCTACGCCACGGTCCCGGATGCTTGGCCGCATCAGTGGCCACGGTCTTAGTGTTTCCCTGAAGAAGAAGAATAAGAAGAAGCTTTGGACAAGAAAGCTTTTGAGCATTCTGGATGTGTTTTTGTTCTTATTTGTGGGGCTGCTCTTGTCTACATGATGAGCTAGCGCTTCGAATGGTGTGCACCGCGCCTCCCCCGCCTCCTTCAGTTCAAGCCTGGCTCACGAATGTGGGGGGCTCCCTCACTGGCCAGTGCAAAGGGCCGCGGCCATGGAGGAGATGTGTCCTAGCCATACTTGGCCAAAGCCTTTGGCCTCCTTTGCCTTCGCCTTAAGCGCCGGCGCCATCAGCTCCTGGGCCCTTCGAATGCCACGGTTGAGCTTGGCGGCGCAGGCCTTCTCGCTGGTGGCGCTGTTGCGGGCAGCGTGGGAGGCATGGCCCCACAGGCCGAAGAGTCCTGAGGAGCAAGAGAGCCTGGCAAGAGCAGAGGTTGGGATACCAATTTCTTCTTTACTTGTTGGGGTGCATGATTCATACATGACCTCAAGCAAGCAAAGTAAGGTCCCTTTGCAGGTTTGATGGCAGGAAATTGGGCGCCACTCCGTTTGTGTTTCAACAGGGTGGGTCACCAGTGAGCCGACATGACTCTAAAATCGGGGGGTGCTTTCCGCACGAAGAAACCCAAGAGACTTCCAGGTCGAAGCCATGGCGCTGACGCTGGAGCACTTGGAGGCGCGCTTAGAGCGCTCGGAGTTGCTGCGGCAGAGGCTTCAAAGCTCCTTTGCCCAGGCCTGTGGACTTCTGAACAGAAGGCATGAGCTATGTGCAGTTACACCCCTACAAGACGTTGATCTCAGTCTACCAATCAAAAAGTCAAACTGCATGTAAAACACAAATCGACTCACATAGAACTTAGAATCCAAGCCGCATTGACAAGCCTAAGCGATTGTGTAAGTTCATACTCCTGGTGGTGCATAGTGTTGCTACTCTTACATTGCTGGCGCAATCAGTGTCCACGATTTTTCGGTACACCGTTTACACCGTTTGCACCGCCTACACCGTTTATATTTACACCGTTTACACCGGTTACACCGTTTACACCATCTACACCGTCTACACCGTCTACACCGTTTACACCGTCTACACCGTTTATACACCGTTTACACCCGTTATACACCGTTTACACCTTCTACAACGTTTACACCGTCTACACCGTCTACACCGTTTACACTGTCTACACCGCTTATGTCTACACCGTCTACACCGTGATCAGCATAATGAGCGTAAGCAGCGTAAACAGCGTAACCAGCGTCACCAGCGTCACCAGCGTCACCAGCGTCACCAGCGTAACCAGCGTAATCAGCGTAACCAGCGTAACCAGCGTAACCAGCGTAATCAGCGTAATCAGCGTAACCAGCCAGCGTCACCAGCGTAACCAGCGTCACCCGCGTGACCAGCGTGACCAGCGTCACCAGCGTAACCAGCGTAACCAGGGTAACCAGCGTAACCAGCGTAACCAGCGTAAGCAGCGTAATCAGCGTAATCAGCGTAGCCAGCGTAACCAGCGTGACCAGCGTAACCAGCGTAACCCGCGTCACCAGCGTGACCCGCGTCACCAGCGTCACCAGCGTCACCAGCGTCACCAGCGTAACCCGCGTAGCCAGCGTAACCAGCGTAATCAGCGTAATCAGCGTAATCAGCGTAACCAGCGTAATCGGCGTAAACGGCGTAACCGGCGTAACCGGCGTAACCGGCGTAATCAGCGTAACCAGCGTAACCAGCGTAGCCAGCGTAACCAGCGTGACCAGCGTAACCAGCGTAACCAGCGTGACCAGTGTAACCAGCGCAATCAGCGCAGCTAGCCACCGCCAGCGTACCAGCGTACCAGCGTGCAATCACTCGCGGACACGCTTTGCCACGTCGCTCTACTCTTGGGCAATAGGGAACGATCCTGGTTACCCAATTCTGCTAAGTTGCCTTTATCAAACGTTGCTTTCACCTCCATGGTGCCCAGATCATACTGAGGGTACAATGTATAGACAACATGTCCACGGGTGAGTTCCTTTTTTTTGGGGGGGTAAGTCACAGATAGCTTAGATAGCCACCGCAAACACATGAATGCCTGAAGCTTTGAAGGCCAAGTTTCCTGTGCCTGACAGATGCTTTAACTCGGTTCGGTTCAGTCAGATTCCTCACCTCCCATTTGCTCAGGTGGTGGTACAGCTGGAGAAGTCCGAGCGGAAGGAGTCGCAGCTCTACCGGGAGCTCTTGCGCATCATGACCTTGGCAGGTCAAAGTCGGGGAAAGACACTGTTTGTTCGTAGAGGGACTTCAGGCAAGAAGGTGATAGATTCTGAGAGCTCAAATGCCTGAGCAACAAATTCTCGGTGGTGCTAGAGGTCGTTGTTTTAAGTTTGACTACTGCAACACCATTGCAAGGTGCAGACGATGCCTGTGAAGCTGGAGGCGATCCCGCTGACGCTCCGGCGGTGCCTGCGGTGCCTGGCTTTACCTTCGCCCCCGGCACGCCCGAGGGGGCGTCGCTCGACCGTCCGAGCCTCTCTTCGGGCGACGAAGAGACCGAGGAGGATTCCGAGGAGACCGATGCCTTCGAGGGCGACGAAGAAGAACGGGAACAGTTGGATGGGGCAACAGAGGTGTGGCTGCTTACCAACACTATCAGAGCATATTGATTATATATAGCCATATAGCTAAGATAAGTCGATCCACTCAATATCACTCAATACTGTCATATGTTCTTTGTATGGTCTTTCTTCTTGATTCGATCCCAGCATTTTGAACTGATGAGGTGGACCATCTCAACCCTCCAGCTGAAGCCGAAGCCGAGCTCCCAGAGCTCCCAGAGCTTTGTGATGCTCCCAAGCCACCGGCTTGCCCGAGCATCGACGAGAGCATCAAGCCGCCCAGCGAGGCGAGCGACGAGCCGAAGCCGAAGAGACAGCGCACCACGTGTTCCGCCTCGACTTCCAGCGGCGTGCACATCGTGATCCGTCGAAAGAGCCAGTTCGGGAGTTGAGTACCAAAGTGTGCCACATGAAGTGGAATCAAGTGGAGAGGAACTGTGCAGATGTACCATAGATTGATCCGCAGTGATCCACAGTGATCCATCGTTGCATGTATGCCAATGCTCCAGGTGTGTCAAGATAGAAAAAGAGCCATGCACCTGTGAGAGCAAGAGTTACAAGGTGAAATGTGTGGAGGATACGTTTTTGGGGATGGAGCTCCTTGTCTCTTTGATATTTAATGATCAGTACGAAGGATCGGCACCAGCTCTGAGTAGTCTTTCATGACTTCCTTGGAGTGGGAGCTGACCGTAGGTCACCCGCAGATGGTGGTCTTAAATTCTACTACTTGTCATATACTGTATATTACAGTATATACAGTATATAAATATATGCAACTTCCAGACACAACTCACGGAGACCACCAGCTTCCCAAAATCATTCTAAAGAAGGCTAGCGGCTAGCTTGGTCCAAACTCATGATCGGAGATACTTGGTTTGAGGTGACATCTACTTGTCCTGCTGCATGGACAGGGCGCAACGTCCACCATAATTAGTGTGTCGGCATCGTTTGGTGTTTTTTGCCATTGACAACCAGCGTAGCGGCCGTGGACTGATGCCTTTGATTGCCTTTGAGTAGCATCTTGTACTACAGACTGACTTGGCTTAAAACATGTTTGGAAGGATATCCTGTTGTTCATGATGTTGGAGTTCCTGATGTCAAGGTGGTGCATTCTGGCCAGCAACCATGCAGGTGTATAGTGTTAAGAGTCTGGAGCATATTGACCACTAATCTTGCAGTTATGAAGTTATATCGTGCCATACCAATCAGACTTCCTTCAGGTGTTCCTCACCTCAGGCGATCCAGTGGTCGCCCCACTCAAAAGCGATCAACAAACGGGTGAAAATCAACGTTTGTTGCGAGGTTCTTGGAACAATATGACCGAACTACAGGACCACCGTCATGTGTCTTTGAGGATCACCACTTCTGTTTGCACCCCTTTGGGGCGGCCAACGGCTTGTAAGAATATATTTAAACATAAAACACATGGAGAAAGTTCCTACCCTGGCCCCTTCATCTCCTCGAAGTTCGCGCTTCAGGTGGGTGGCATGCGCGGAGTGCATCCCTTCATGAAAATCCCTTTGCATCGCCCCGAAGCGATGCTGAACCTCTTCGGGCTCACCACAGGGCTCACCGCCTACATGGGCATTTTCAAGGCCGGCGCCGATAGAAACGGCATCAGGAAACGAATAGAAAACGGCATTGACCTGGTGGAATTCTTTTGGTCTTCCCATAGTAGGTTGGCACAGCTCAACGGTAGATGTGTTGATTCATGAATCGCAGAGTTGTTTTTTTAAGGCCAGGCCGGTGCCGAAATTCGGTGTTTCTCTCCCAAAGAACGCACATTGATAGCAAGTCAAAAGCTCTCATCGACTCACATGCAGTAGATTGGTTTTGGCCTGTTCTACTCATTCTCGCTCATTCTAGCCCAATCAAGAGGAAACCTTCCAAGGGGGATCTGAAAAAAGTATCCCAACATGTCAGTCTTCTCATCTTTTTTTCCTCCAAAACCTACTAGTTAGTAGCTCCTGGCATCGCTACTAGCCCACCGATCTCTCTGTTTGCCGCTCCGCGCGCAGGTCCTCTCCGCCCCGGCTTCCCACGAGACCTGCGTCGTCAGCGCTGCCGCGGGCGCTGTCGGCTGCTTGGCGGCGCAGCTGGCGAAGTCCAACGGCGCGCGGGTCATCGGCATCGCAGGCGCGCACACCATGCGTAGTCCAACAGTGAAGGGGGGGAGGAAGAAGAAGAAGGAGAAGAAGGAGAAGAAGAAGAAAAGGAGAAATGGATGGAAGTGGCTTGAACTGCTGTGGATGAAGAATTTGGGAGCGTCGGTCTTTTGTTTTTCAACTTGAAAGGATTGTTTGATGGTTTTCAGATGCATCCTTTGCATTTTTCTGGGTAGGTGGCGCTGAGAAGTGCAAATTCCTGCAGCTCGGTGCTTTGGTGCTTTGTCCGTTTGTCAGTAGTCACTCGCTACTCACCTCGCCTTGGAATTTGAAGTTGTTCTTTTCGACATGTTTTCGGCGGCTGTTGTAAATCTGTTGAGATATATCCTCGATCCCCTGTGAAGGTACGAGGAAACAATGGAGCACGAGGAGTATTAGTATATATATATATTATATAGTATATTGGTATTGCAGGGAAGTTGATACCGAACCCAGAGTGAATGCAGGTGAACCAAAACCAAATTAGGTCATGAGCAGAAGCCACATGCGAGCATCCTGAATCAAGCTTAGTGAATAGCAATTGGCGTCCTGGCCGCTGTGGCAACAACAAGAGCCCAAAAACGAGCCATTGATAGGAGCTGGGACATGAAACAAGCTGTCACTGGGGCTTGGGGATGCATGCAGCTTACTGGACAGGCCGCGGTTTGTGGCAGACTCAAATTCTCGATGTGATGTGATGTGGGTGTGTATTCGAAGATGGAGACCTCCCAGTTCAACTCCCATTGGAAGGTTCGGGACCAGTCTGGCCAGCCAGGGCTAAGGGGCCCCCAGTGGAAAAAACAACACACCCATATGGCCATGTGAGGAAAGACACCCTTCAGCTCGATGGGGCCGTTGATTACAAGAGCGAGATCCCAATGGACAAGCAGCTGGACGAGATAGCGCCAGATGGAGTGGACTTTTTCTTTGACAATGTGGGTGGCCAGACGCTGGTGCTTAGGCCAAACTATTTGAGGTATGGTAGTATGACCCTGACTCAGATGTCAAATTTATGGTAAGACCGGCTTTCCTTCAACCATGTGCGCTCGATGTTCGTCCAGTGTTTCTGACGGAGATGTGGCTCTGAGAGTTTCCGGGTGCCCTCAACCAAGGATGTCATATTGGATCGCATCCGAGCTGGTGGCCGAGTGGTGATTTGTGGTGCTGTGAGCCAATACTCTGGAAATTTGAACAAGGGCAAGGTGGCGGAAAGGGGGGGCAGGTGAGGATGGTCATGAATACTCCCTTGGCAAAAGTCATGGAAGTGCAACCTTTTTCGGGGAGTAGTTCTGGATCGCTGTCCTTGAGAGTAGATGTGCTGGGGTTGCAATGGTAGGATTTTCGGGGATATGAAACAGTCAGAAAGCAGGGCAATGGTAGTCCATTGACGATCTTTTTTTGGCTGGTCCAGGTATGCATGGTCTTTCACGCTTATAATTAATGCAAATTAATGGTGATTACATGTGATTACACAATTATTGGTTTGGGCTACATCGTTCACCGGATGACAGCTTATGAAGCTTATGATTAACTCCTAGAGGCAGATGGCCCCTTCTTGGATCTAGCACAGGGAAGAGACAGATGGGCAGGTTCTTGGATCCGGGCTGGGAGGGATGAACCGACATGAAGGTGACATCAGAATCCTTTTGTAGGAGAAGAAGCAAGTCCAAATATGGCATCAAATCTGAAAATGCCAGGTGGAGGGTCCCAGGAACTATTTGAAGCTGGCCGAGCGTGGTGCCACCATGAAGGGCTTCAATGTGATGCAGTACATGTCCTCGGTCCCAGGCCAGGATCCGGAGAAAGCTTCAGGTTCGGTGGTGGCGTGCTTTTGTGGCAAATTGGGGGTGGCTGAGACTTCAAGTCAACGCCCTAAGTTTGAAGCAGATCAAGTTATTCAGTCAGTCAATGATGGCTTTTGCTTCTTCTGGCGCAGGTGCCATGTGCCAACTCGCATGGCTCCACTACCGGGGCTACTTGAGGATTCATGAGGACATCCAAGAGGGCATTGAGGCCTTTCCAAACGCGCTGCAGAAGCTCTTCATCGGGGGCCACACTGGAAAGATGCTTTGCCGAGTGGCCTCCGAGACCTGAGTTCGGTTGAGGACCTTTTTGGCTGGTGCAGGTGTCATAGCACGTCGAGCACGCCACATGGCCATCATTGACTCATCATTGTTGTTGTGTGTCGCTGCCTTTAGCAGTTTTCTGCCAGCAACTGGCATGTCCCAAGGACATGTTTCTTCTGTCGGCACAAATTTTCTAGCCTCCTCAGGATTTTTCGTGCTTCCTGTGGGCAACATATTGCAAGATACCTCTCAAGATCCCTCAAGGCTCTTGGCTCAAATCCCCAAAATCTGGCTTAGCCCTGGAACCAAATGTGCTGAGGGGGGTATAAAAGCAGTTAGCTGCGATTCATGCAACATGTACATGAGCATCTCCTGATATCCTGATACAAGCAACGATGCAACCCGCAGATTGAGGCCATCATCCCTGTGATCTATTTACTACATGGATGATGTTCGATAAGATTTGGATGTGTTTTCAAACATGAGAAGTCCATTCTCTCAGCAAAAGACCATGTATAATTCAAACGCGTGTGTTTCTCGGGTCGGCGACGGGTTGTCGCCGTCATGAGCGCCAGGTCTCACCTTTGCAGGCTGGAGCCGGTGGTTTGGCGACCGTCAGGGCATCCCAGACGAGACCGAGAATGGCTGAGGAGTCTCACCGTATTTTGGTGGGCTGGCCGCCATGTGGAAAGATGTGTTGGGGAATTTGTCATCATGCGTGGATTTGATTGAGTCAATCACATAGGCCAGTGGCGTGATGCAACAAGTCAGAAGATTTTGAAGCGCCGCATGGGTTAGCTCTGAGGTGATCTCAGGTTATCCTTTGGTAGCAGTGCCTTTGGCAGCAAGGAGGGCAGATTGGGATTCTCTTTTTACAAGTCTTCCAGCCTAGCCATGATGTGGTCGGCCAGATGGAGGCCCTTGTTACTGCACCATCCTTGTAGAGGCAGGTCCCATCATTCCATCCGCAGGCGGAGCAGGCGGTGCCTCTGCATGCCCCGCGGAGTCAAATGACATACCATCATATAGTCAACTGGAAGCAGCCCAAAGTGAAACTCATTGCAATCCAACAGCAGCCAAAATTGCAGTCGCGTTTAAAGGGCACCAGCATTTTGTCAGAGCACTTCCACTTTGCAATGCCTTTCGATTGTGTCATTCGCACACTGAGACACAACGGAGTGCCAGAAGGAGGGTTTAAGAAGTCGAGCTCTTCATGAGATGCACGATTTGATTCTGATGCCTCAAATGTATTATCATAATCCACAATTGTCGCCCGGGCGGCGTTTGGCTTGACACTTGACCATCACAGGATTGCTGCACGCGCTCACGTCATTGATTTCGATCCAAGTCCGAAAAGGATTTTCGTGAGCAAAGCAGTTTTAAACAAACTGTTCAGTGGATAGCATGCCTTTCCAAGAGGAGGCAGAATAAGCCATGAAGACCGCTTAGCCTTCAGAGCCTCCAGACACCGCCTCCATGAAGACCACCACTCCGACTCTTTTGACACTTCTGGGCCATCTGGGACCAGGTGCACAGCCAGTTTCAAGCACAGAACAAATCCACAGTCTGAGTCGAGTGCAAGCCACCACGCCGCCAGCATGGCCCGTTTGGCTACACTGGGATTGGCGATTGTCGCATGCGCGACGACCTGCGCCGGAGGAGCTTCACGCGATGCGCGCGATTTCCTGGGAAGCTGCGGTGTTTTGGTGCCACAGCCCTTCACCTGCCGTGGGATGCCCGAGTGGGCGGCCTTCCTGGAGGCGACCACAGAGAATCGAGCGAAGGGCTTCCAGACCGACGATGCCTTGCTGGGACAAGCGCAGTGGATCCTGCAGCAGTGGCAGGCGTTGCCGGTTGGTTTGGGGGAAGTGAAATAAATTCACCGAAACAACAGAGAAGCAGGTAAAATATGGTAAAATACACCCGCTGATTCTCTATCAAATGGGGAGGGTTGACATGTATAAAATGCAGTTCCAGTATCCGTTTTATATGGTAAAATGGTGTGCTGGAGGTGTGCCTAGCACCGAAGAGCACACTCATTCGATGATCCAACGCTCAGCTTGAAAGCTGATTGGGCCGTTTCTGGAATTCAGAGTGGGCCCGGTCCATGCTGGAGGGCTTTCCATTGAGGAATCTCAGGCACACCACGGTCCAGCAACACCAGGTGCCCCCAGTGAACGTTCGACCAGTCTTTGGCCTCCGCTCGGGCAGGACAAGCCGTATCCACCACAGGATTTCTTCAAGTACCTTTGTGCCTTGGTTTGATTCAGATGACTACAGCCAATGGCCAATGGACTTGATTTTTATTCCGGAAAGGCCCCCATCTTTTGCAGTCAAACATGACGCACTGGAGCAAGGGGAAGCGAGTGCTGCTGAGCAAACCCTCAATATCGGAGAATTACACAACACTGGGCAAAACAGATGCGCAAAAGACATCCCATAGTCCTACAACACTCCAATCCATGAAGCCCAGATCTTCATCCAACCCCGTCCCCAGCATCTTGGGTGCTGCTGTGACTCAACCGGAGTCATCCATTGAGTCCAGCCAACTGACGTCGCCGGCTCCCAGGTAGTGGACCGGAAACCCCTTGGCCCTTGGCCGACCGCTTCTGCCTCTGGGGGTTTGTCGCAGCGCTCATCGTGCAGTCGCGGCATTTGATGGGCTCGGCTGAGAGGGAGGACCAGAAGTCAGCAGACATGGACTTTGGATATGCCACCACCGTGCCACCTGGTAGCAGTTCTAAGCTTCTAAGCTTTTTGCCTGGAGTGCATCGAAGACCTGAGCTTGTCGAACCTTGAGTTCTGGTTTGCATGGAATGTTGGAGCTCAATATTCCTCAGAAAATATGTGGTCTGAGCATCAGAAAAGATGGGGCTCAATATGTGGATTCCACGGACCACTGGATTCCACGCCCACCGCCCCGTTGACCCGTCCCGTTGAGCAGCTCTGAGGCTTGGGAAGGAAGGATCGATGGATTTCTTGGATTCCTCTCCTTGGCCCTTCTCGATCATTGATGCCTGACCGATGTGCTGACGTGGATGCTTCTGTGTATTGAAGAAGGGATCAGCATCATGAGCGATTGCCAGACATGTCATAGTGAGTTCTCTTCTCATCCGTGCTTCCTCACGAGATTCCAAACCAGTTGCCTTACCCTGAATGGAGGCCGTCCAAAAAGAGTTGATGTATATGTTTGCTTTGGGGTTCTGAAATTCTAGTGGCAAATGCATTACGATGAGGATGCCTTCATCAACATCAATGAGACCAACTTCATGAGCTATGAAGCCTACGCGATACAGCAACCAGTGACACCACCTTCGGTGCCCTTGAAGTCCTTGCATTGGCAGCCTCCAGTGGAATTGGCCACTTGGAATTCGTGGAGCTGGCCGGAGGCTGCCCAACCCGCCCACGCCCGTCGAGGCACATCCTCCAAACGTTTGGCGTTATTTTGCCTCTGGTTGGGTGTATATGACATTATATGACCATGATGATGCATTGATGTTTTTGTGTTTGAGCTATTTATGGCAGAAGGATGTGAACTCTGAGTGGGGAAAATGCAAGCTGCTCTACAGTTACTATATACATATATACATATTAAGGAAATAAACCCGTGCCACAGTCCTCGCCCGTTGTTCACCATGAAGAGGCTAGGACTAGGAAACAGATGCCCAGGAAAAGACACAGCTCCCCAAGAAGATTCGTCTTGCAGTGGTTGGATCTCATGCCACACTCTCTCTGGAGCCGGTAGAGATGCTGCGGCGGTTCCTCTCTGGTGTGCAGGTGGCTCCTGTCTCTTGGATTGACTGAGCGCCTTAGTGTTACACTTGAACCGCCCCCCCCAAAGAAAGAACAATTGAATGGGTTCGGGTTTGGGGTCGCAGTCATTGCTTCACAAAAAGTGAGGAGGCTGTGCCCTTGGTGCCCGTTTAGCATCCTGATCGCCTTTGGCCGCCTGATCGCCTTTGCCCCAATGATCGTTTGAAGTGTTTGGGGTTTCGAAGATCTGCGGAGCACTTTCAACTTTCGACCTCCATACCCACACATAATGGAATTTGACTACAGTATAATTGGAGGCAGTGCCTTTTGACATATTCAATGTTAAGATGTGCGTTACTATACCAAGTGGGATTGCTTGCCCTTTGTTTTGTGTGGGTGAAATCTAAGGTCTTCTATGGCCTGGAAGCACGATGGTGTCAGATCTTGGGGATGTGTGACCAGGGTACAGAGGCATTAGGGAAACTCTTCAAGGATGCAGAGAAGGACCCCTATGCGTACCTAGGCTGAAGATGCTGCTGCCAATCAAACAAAATCTAAGATGAAACATATTGGCCTGACAGGAAGACCCTCATGGAATTCTCATGGATTGGCTTGTGAGGTTGATGAGTGGAAACAAAAGATGTCTTGCCGTTCTGTTCCATGATGTTCCATGTCCATCATGGGCCATGTTGAAACCGTTTTGGGGTACGGCTCGGTCGATGGCCTTTGATGACCCAAACCACCAAACGCAGCAAGCTCCACCTGCGTTTATCGATGAACCACCTGAGGTACAGCTGGGAGATCATGTCATCTCAGGTGGGCCTGATTTTTGCGTGGTCAGCGTCCCTGCAGTTCATGAGAAGAAACACGTTCCATCCTTTCCAACCACCTGAGCCTGACACCCACGGTCCCACAGACCACCGCCCGACAGACCTCCAACCACCACAGACCCGAGAGGTCAGGATCACCTTTTGGAGGGCTCTTGGCCCGAGACACGAGACGAGACGAGACCTGCTAAGAGCTGCCCGTTACTCCACCCCGGTACACGTGGGTAGGCTGAGTAGACTGAGTAGATGGCGCAAGTTATTTCCAAGCTAGGTGGTTTAGAATGAATGTGGACCCCATTGGACCCCTATCCAAGGACATCTTGGGGTGCAAGTGCCATCAGAGCCTCTGAAACCACTGTAGTTGATGTTACATGTTTCTTTGGTGTCCTCAGCTTGGTACAGCTTGTTTGTTGCTTTGACCCCCGAAACCGCCAGGTCCGCGGATGGG